CTCTCGTGTGCGCGCTGAGTGCCGCACACGAGAAGGGGGGAGGGGCAGGACGTCTTAAGACGCCCTCCCGCTCCTAGCAGACGTCCGTCCATTCACAAACGGCCATGGACGGAAGGTGGTTAAAAAAAACTCTCCTTTTACATTTTTATGTAAGCTCTGACTACAGTGACTTGGATCTTCCTTCCTCAATAATAGTGGCAGAGCAAAGCAGTGGGGGGAGAGTATGAGCTGCTGGTAAGCATTAACACAAACCCTTTCCTCTGCCCTGCATAGTGAAAACACAAGTTCACTTTAGGCCACATGCACACTTTGCAAAGCAAATGGCTGTTCTTTACATGGAAAGAATGGTCTAGTACACAGTGAGCTTGTATTGCTTTGAATTCATTTTGTTCTCACCTGCAAAGACATGTTAAACAACACACTCCATGCCTACAAAGTATGGCTATAGGCATTTTAGCCTTAGGACTCACACAGCTGTGGCAAGAATCCAGCAGATTCCTGTGGCTGGGTGTGGACAGTTCCAGGCCGTCATTTCTTTATACAGGGTGAGAGGCCACAGCTATCCACCTGTAATTGCACACGGAGTAACTACCTCCTGTTAGGGACAGATGATCTCCACTGGACACCAGCAGCTTGCATGCAGTGGTAATAGTCTGTCCATAACCGCAGACAATCCCTCCATGTGCGATTACATCCGAATACCAGGGGACAGCTGCAGCCACTGTCAGTGTTTTTTGTGTGCAGGCTCAGTGGTCACAGCTATTCACCTGTGAAGCAGCCACAGGAATGCAATCAATTCGTCCTGCAGCCGGCACATTTTTGCCATGTGAACAAGGCCTTTACCTGTACTGGATGTCTACAGCAAAGAAAAAAAGAGATATTTATAAGTTGTGCAAGCTGAAAGCAGCAATTTCTTTACTCTGCCACACCAAACTATATATATTGTAAATGCAAAGTGAAGAACTGGGAAACCTCAGGGTTACATAGTATTTGAGGTTGAATAAAGACATAAGTCCATCAAGTCCAACCTATTGTGTGTGTGTATAGGTCCCTATATCATCTCATTCTTAAGAGTACCTGTACCCCTGTACATTACGGTCTCAGGAAAATGGTCCACAAGCTTCTTGAATGATTCCAGACTATTTGCTGAAATCACCGCCTGTGGCAGCGAGTTCCAGACCCTAACCGCTCGAACTAAGAACCCCTTTCGCTCCTTGTGTTGGAATTTTTTTTCCCATCAATTTTAGGTGATGGCCTCTAGTCTTTGTTATGGAGTTAAGTGTAAAGAGTTTGTTGGTAATGTTGCTGTCACCATTGCACATGAAAATCATGTCCCCCCTTAATCTCCTAACTTCCAGCGTGAACATATTTAAATTTAGTAGCCGTGTCTCATAGTTCTGGTCCTCCATTCCCCTTGATGAGTTTGGTTGCCCTCCGCTGGACTCTTTCCAGCTCAAGGACATGCTTTCTGTGGACTGGTGACCAAAACTGGACCGCATACTCCAGGTGAGGTCGAACCAGTGATGTGTACAGTGGCAAAATTAGACTTGTCCCTGCAAAACATTCCCTTTTTGATACAGGACTGCTTACAGCAACCTGGTACTGTAAGCTATTATTCAGTTTGTAGTCTACTATGACCCCCAAATCTTTCTCCATTTCTGACTTCCCTAGTGGCATACCCATAGCTGTTCATTTATAAAATGGGGTGGATGCTTTTCGCAGTGCCCCTCGATGGTGCCAATAAGTAAGAATTTCCTATACTCATCAGCGCCATCTAGGGACGCTAGTGCCATGCAAACAGGACAGCAGGTTGTAATGTTTATAGATCACCATACTGTCATTAAAAAGTCAGAAATTGTCCCGGTTACAGCATGTGTGGGTGTTATAAGTGTCCCTCTATGAAGCTTGGTACAACTTCAGAAGGTAAAGAATAAATAAAGGACAAGGATGGTTATATCTCCAGGTTCATTTTAAAACATCAAAAAAATGTAAGATCGTTGTTATTTACTTGTCTTCCCCCTCTTTTGGTGGAATCTTAATTTATTGAGATATATTTAAAGCACAATAAAGAGGTGAATTTTTAAATAAAAGCCTGCGTCTCTTCTTACTGAGAATGTGCGATTTTATTTTCTTAGCTATGGTAATGTTTAGAATCCCGACACAATAATAAACTGATTGTATGATCATTGGTTTATCTGAGAAGAGCAGTGAAACAATTTGGATATTTGTTGTCCAATCCTATCTTCTTTTCGTGGTGATGAATAGATATAAACTGGGGCACTGCTATAAATGTCACAGTAAACTCAGGAGTTAAATCTTAATACATTCAAGGACCTTAACTATTCACAACAATGTATCTTATTTGTGTGTCACTCGGCTGTAGATCCTCCAATCATCTCTGAATTAGTGCCGACACTGTACTTCCTTCTGGAGGGGGGCTACGTCTGTTCCCCATGGTCCCTGTGTGTGTTGTAAAGTAGTCACCGCTCCAAGCTCACTCCCGGGATGGACTACAATCTCATGTTTACTATTTTGTGTTGAGATTGTAGTCCATCACGGGAGCAACCTTGGAACGGTGACTACTTTACAACACACACTGGGGGAACAAAAGAAGCCCCCCTCCAGAAGGAAGGACAGTGTCAGAGATGATTGGAGGATCTACAGCCGAGTGATACACAAATAAGATACATTGTTTTTAAAAAAAAAAAAAAAGTACCTGAATGCATTTTTAATTTTTCAATTATGAGTTTAGTGTCTTTTTAAATTGACCAACCCTGCTTTGCCTACCTGAAAAATTGTAAAAACCGTTTTTAAATTTCCTATGTTTACAAATGACATTGGAGTGACAGGTTCACTTTAAACAAAGTCAGACCACTAAAGGGAAAAATCAACTCTCCTTTCCTGCAGTTTTTTTTTTCTTTAAACACTGTTTTTGCTGCTGCAGGTATTCAACATCTCTGTGCATGTCAAATACCCGCTCCTCCTGCCAGCACATGCATGCTGTACTGACCCATGTAATCACTAAGTTTGGTTATCACAGTGATCACATGACAGGGAACCTCTCAAGAAAGTATTCCCAGTTATCAGCTGAGACAGATTTCTCAGAGAAAGGCAAGTATCAGAACTAGGAGCACACACTTCTGCAGTCTCCTAGTTCCCAAAGGACACATGGAATAAAGCTGAATTCCCTTCAGTCTTGCACAGTTGTACTACAGGAGGGGGCGGAGACCAGACCAGTCATCCTGCACAAGGATAGAGAGCAGCAGCGACCGGTCTTCATTACAGGAGGGGGTGGAGGCAAGACCAGTCACCCTGCACAAGGAAAAAGCAGTACTGGTCTAAATTACAAGAATCTGAACTCCATCCTTCCATTTAGTCTTGCACAGTTGTACCGCTCCTCTCCTGAAATGTCTTCCTCTGGTTTCTCAGCACACTGCAAGCTTCTTACAACGTACATTAGAAGCTGCAGCAAGTCAGAGAGAGAGAGCTCGTCTTATTTCCTGGCTGGAGGACATCCAGTGTCATCTAGTTCTATTCTCCCCAGCCCAACTGTCCCTGACCCCCCCCTTTCATTCATTAGAAACCAGTTCTTTCAGTAACCGTTGCTCTGTATAGCATGTGGGCATTGGCTTTGGTGGTCTGCCTGCAGTGATGGTGTGACTGTTTCTAAAAATAAGGAAGGGAGGGTGGGTCTAAAAATAAGGGGGGGGGATTTATCAAAACTGGGGTAGAAAAAAAAAAATCTGGACCAGCTTCTCTCCTTTTCAAATCGTAACTGAACAAACAGAAGAGAGAAGCTGATTGGTTGCCGTGCACAGCTGCTCCAGATTTTGTTAAATTCCCCTCAAATGTATGTAATGGAAGCTGAAAGTTTTAATCTAATATACAAGATGATAAAACCTCAGCTTTAAAGGGTTATTAAACCCTTGCATGTTTTTGCATATATCTATTGCTAGCAAGCAGTAGATATATGCAAAAACATTTAAAAAAAAAAAAA